GTAGTCATATTTACCCTAAGCCGTATGTCAGAATTAACTGAAAATTGAATTTTTCTTAAATCATATTAATATGTCTTTGTCCAGCACATCATTTAGGCATGTTACCATCACTTCACACTGCCACGGGCGTCCGTGGATAACACGGCATGCGTGAATTTCAAGGCAGGTTATGCATACTGTCTCAAGCGACCATTATTACCGCTACTGGCCTCATCAAGCCATGCCTCGCAATTTCACGATTCAACCATGTTTCGAAGCATTTAATGAGATTTCTACAGGTGATTTCTAACAAGAGAAATGGTAGTTAAAAACGCCAGTATTCCAAAAACTTACGAACAAGCGCATATTTATTTCGCGGGCGTCCGCCGTGGGGTCTCAAGAGATCCAGCTCTTCTCCCAGATCGCCTGTCTGCAAAATTGGATCACGTTCTAGAAAGGAGAAAGAATAGAAGAATATAATTCCAGACTCACAAGACAGTTATTTTACCGGCCTGTATAAAAAATGTGTTCATGACGCCAATACATAAAAAGCATACAGAAGGTATAGGCTATAACTTAAGTAGAAAGAGTTTGCAAGGATTAGATACGCACTCACTTACCTTCGGGCACACATTCAATTTGTTTCTACCGGATACAAGCATGGGTAAGTAGGCCTTTTAATTGTTTAACAATTAATAAACCTGGGCCACTTGAGGCTGCAGTACAACGACTTTCATCCGTCCTCATCTGGTGAAATCAAAAAATGAATCTCTTCTTCATGTACTTTCATTCGAAATGAAGGTCCCCCTAACAATGTTATCTGAGGAGATTCATCGAAACCAAGTTTCTCTTCTTATCCACTTGAGGTGAGTTAAGAGATAATCGTTCAGTTTTTCCATAAAAAATTTAATAGCCCTCATGCTGCCATTCAGGTTCAATTGGCCTTTCTTCCAAAAAGTTTAAATTCTCCGGAATGGACTGCAGATTCAACATTAAACGGGATTCAGAAATGAGTCACAGGCATTGCGGCAAACCTTCAACAGGGCATATGTGATCTTTGATACATGACAGGCAAATCCTAAATCAATTTTATAGTAGATTTTCCCATGAGGCAAGCATGTATTTTCCATTGTAATTACCTGATTTGTATGTAATTTTAACTTACCTATGGCATTAATATGTTTGGAAATTCTGAGGAAATGTATTAATACTACTTTATATGTTGGCCAAGTAGCGAGATTATGTTGAGAGCACCGTTTATAAGCGGTAATGTACAGCTGAATACAACTAGAATCGATGCTGTGATTTAAACTTTTCAATACTTCACGAATAGTTTTAAATTGATTACCAAGTAGACAACGGAATTTCGACATAAAATTAGCATCATTAGTCATTGGCATCATTAACTTAGTCAGTGTTGATAAAAAAAAATGTAATTATGGCAAACACTAAGTTCAGTCGAAATGGCCTAATTCTGACATTCATTCGCACTATCTTCTCAATGTGCCCCAATGTAGTTTTAGCGAGATAAATCCAAGTTTTTAACCTCTTAACTCTTCATAATCTACCTCCTCGTGCATTCCTTGCCTATTCAGCCTTCAAGGCCTCTCCTCAGCACACCTAACCCTACAAATTGGCAGCAAAAATCGCGCCTTACATTGTAATATCTGAAACGACTCATTGATCCAATGTACAGGCCCATCTTCACTACAAGAGTATAAAACGCTTTCATAGACTTGCGTAATTAGTCCTAAGCAGAGGAATAAGCAAGATCCGCTAATCAGATAAAGCTATTTCTCTTGGTCGATCAGAGATATTT